ATATAGTTAACAACCCACCGCCCTTCCAAGTGGGTGGGTGGGTGTGGGTGTGGGTGTGGGTGTGTGTGTGTGTGTGTGTGTGTGTGTGTGTGTGTGTGTGTGTAGGCGTGTGTAGCAATGTGTGTGGATCTGCGTGATTGTGGTCTGTCTAACAGCTCATCGACATACACTGCTACACGTGTCATCCCAGATATTAGCCGGAGTTTGCCGCCAACTCGCGCCAGAACGAATGTCACCCGACGGCGCGGGGTGAAACTAAAGCTGAGAACGGGCCACTGGTGAGATGCTTCAATTTGCCGCCATTCCAACGGTTCGTCTGGCTGATCAGGCCAGATCTCACCATGCAGTGCCAGTGTCTGTGTGGGGCAGTGACTGTCAGGCATGCTCCGCCCCCTGCATATTGACCTCGTCACTGCAAACCTTCATTGCAGATTCAAGACATCTACAAAGCCCTACCGGCTAGCTTAGAATGTCTGTGGGTGTTTTGGCCGTTCTGGAGTGAGGCTGCAGTCTCAGCTTCACGCGGCTCTGTCGCTCGCGGCATGTACGGATCCCACTGCATTCCTGGCATAGCATCTGCTAGGCTCGGCCGTCAAACGAGAAGCTTTGACACTGAAGAAGCGACTCGGCTTTGGCCTTGGCCTGGTGCTGTCAGCAGCAGCTTCTTTGCCTCGCACTGGAAGAGTGTCCCTTCTTTACTCCCTATCGTCCCGGACCTTGGTGGCTTTGCCCGTCTCTCCTTTCCGCTTCTTGCGAACCTGCATGATACTCCAGGGTGGCTCGGATTTTCCGGATTGTTGCGAAGTCAGCCACCTGAGCCTCTGCACTGCATGGTGATTCTGCCCTTGGTGGCAGGAAGCTCTGCCATCTGACAGCTTGCACTCACATCGCTCGCCTTGGCTTCTTCTTTGCCTGGAGATCACAAGGCACTTGTTGCTCAGACGGTCTTGGGCGGATCAAGACTAGGGCAGGCCTTCTTCCCCACCTGCCAGGGGAAGACTCCAGGCCTCAGCTCACTAAAACTGCATGAGAACAGCACAACTAAACGAGGTCTCGAAAGCTGCTGCTGCCATTCACGAGACACTCTAGGATCCACACGTCGAAATCGGAGAGATGCTGCGCAAGTCTGGATCCACGTCGTCGGGCTCCTGAGTGAGTTCGGAGGGACCACATGAGGAGGGCGCTTCAATCTGCACGTGCAGGTCTCCGAAACGCCCACAGCCACAGCAGCCGCTGCTGACACTTTGGCCACGTTCGCCTGAAGGGCCAGTCTTGTCAGAATTCCGAATCGGGCTCTGGTGACTCTGGATGTGCGAGAGGCCTGTGTCAAGCGTGGAGCAGGGCCTTCTTCATCACTGGAGACCTCCACCTGAATCCAGACTGCTCCACACTCTACACTTTACCCATCATTACCCGGCTGTACACCGCCACTACCACGTTACGACATGGCGTCTCTTGCAAAATTCTGAGTCTGAGAGGCCAACCTTGTCAGAGCGTCGACGTTCTGGTCGAGGTGATGTCAACCTCATCTCGGCCCATCTCGGCTGCCTGAAAATAACCCGAGGAGTTCTGAGCAGCGCACGGTCGTTGGCCTGGACCGGGTCCAGATTTGGCCTTCCAGCTTGCACGACTGAATGCAGGAGACCAGTGCCATTACAAGTTCGTTGTAGGTTGCAGAGCTGGTACAAAGAAAGCTCTTTAATCGCCCAGCACATCGTTGCAGTGCACCTTCGGTGGCGGAATGTCCTGACCACCATCCGAGGCCTCAATCAGCAGCACTCAACAGGTATTGCATGGCTCTCGCACCTGTCAACATCCTTTAATACTAAGTGATTCGACATCACTTTCATCACGTGGTAGTGGCGGTGGCCAAGCCTGCCATGGCATGCATTCCGAAACCCGTCCACCAAAACCATGCTGCGGCCTCGCCGGAGATGGTCGCCAGCCTGAATGCAAGCCGTTGCCCTAAATCTTTTCCGTTCACGAAAACTGTTCACTTTGGGTCCCGAACCCTTCAGGGCGAGATTTCGGGCGAGCCGCGGGGCGTTCGTCTTCCTTGCCAGGCAAAGTCTATCACAGCCACAAGCATCGAAGTCATCCATAAAGTCGGACATGAAGCGCTGGGATCACACACTGCAAAGCAGATAAATAAACCCATCTTGCCACCACTCCAGAGCAATGTGAGCTTACGTGCCTTGGGCTTCTTCTTTTTCTTGGGCTTGAGGGCCTGAAGAGGGAGCCAGGAGCCGGATGCCAGGCGGTTGTGCTATGCATCGCTGCCGAGCTATCCATGCCTTTGCGATCTCTGCATCTGCTGGTGGTGGTGTGAAAAGAGCAGGCGTCACCTGACACATAGATGCGCCAACTTGCTTGCGAAGGAAGCGCCCATCGACGATGGTACCCCAGAAACGGTGTTGTACCTAACGCCTCAGAAATAGCGGAAAGTTCCCGGGAAATTATGGCTCGACCTGCAAATCTGCTTACGCATATTAGCGGCACTCAACTAGCCATCCCTGCGCATCCACGCGGACTATGCCGTGTCATGCTACATCTGGCATCATCGCTGAAACGCGGAGCGTACACTCGGCGCAGTCTAAGTATGAGATTTATACACAGTGATGCATGGCCGCAAACGACACTGTAAGGGAAGACCATACTCTCCAAGAGGGAGCTGGAACAGATTAAAGAAGAACGGTGCAAGTCCCAATTTGCCAGCGACCTGAGGCAGTTGTCTTGGTGGTGCGAGCACAGGGGGAGGTTCTTGCACCTGGGCAAGAACTGAAAGGAATGCACCATCCAAAACTCCCCATCCATCCCCAACAACAAGCCGCGCACAGGTGGCGGCACTGGGACCTGAGAGATTTCAAAAGCAGGCGCAGCCCTGCCAAGATCTGCCAAGATCTGCCAATTGACGCCTTGACGCAGTTTGACTACGGCTCCGCTCGAAGATACAGGCTCTGCACTTTGGCTAACAGAATTGTGAGACCGCTTGCATGTGCATTATCACCGAGGGCTCAAGGTTATAGTGTGCCCAAGGTGAGTTGCTCACTGAGAAGTGCACTTCGTGCCCTCTACTTTGGAGTTTGCACGAGAACAACAAGGAGGAATGAAATCGAAGTTCGAATCGTTCTTGGCAAGGCTGCCACACAGATGAGATTTTGCAACTGTGAAGTCAACACTGCTGGCTAGGATGAACACACGGATGTTCTCAGCCCTGCCACTCTCGCTCGAGCACTTCACCGCAGACAGCAGCACTGGAGTTACCTGTGAGGAGTGCCCAACATGGAAACCTGGTACCAATGACCGTTGTCACCATGGTGCTTGTGCTCACGCCATTGCCAGGCATGTCCAGCTAAAGGTGCACTGGGGGGATGTCCGATGTTAGAGATGTGGTGATTGTCGGGGACCGCGACCCATCTCATCGCACCGTGGTGGAGGACATGCACCCAGTGATAGCCGAAAGGAGCCATGTTTGTTGGTGGTGCGGCATGGCCCACCGTCAAGTCAGACGAAGTGACCACCCCATGCTGCAAAGGGCCCGCGGTCAAGTCAGACGAAGTGACCACCCCATGCTGCATATGGTATCCGGCGGATACTAGAGAGGAGCTGTCACTCGAGCAGCCACGATGGTACTTGAGGCAACAGTATTGCTTCTTCTCGGCACACCATTCGTGCACCCAGTCCGAGTAGTCTTTATCACAGTCCCAGTGGGAACAGCCTTTCTGAAAGTGCTCGCAGCACCAATACTTTTTGTTGTTGGACCAGACGCTCTTCCAATCGTCATAGCCAGCATCGCAATCGTAGGTTGATATCTCACAGCCTCGATGGAAATGATGGCAGCACCACTTCTTCTTCTCATCCGACCAGCCATGGTGCCAGTTGGAGTAACCGGCATCACAGTCGTAGGGCATATGCGAGCAGCCTCGGTTAGCATGTTGGCAGCACCATTTTTTCTTACCGTCCGACCACCCCGCCCGCCAATTGGTGAAGCCAGCGTCGCAGTCGTAGGGAACTGACGCTGGAGGACAGCCATGATGGTAGTGATGGCAGCACCATTCCTTCTTGGCAGGGGTCCATACGGACATCCAATGCGAGTAGCCAGCATTGCAATCATACGTGGGTCCCCCACAGCCACGGTGGCTGTGCGCACAGCACCAAGATTTTTTGCTTGCAGACCAACCCAGTTGCCAGTTGCTGTACCCCGCGTCGCAATCATATGGCAACGACACAACGCAGCCGCGATGAGTGTGATGGCAGCACCACGCCTTCTTGGATGTTGACCAACCAGACTGCCAGTTAGAATATCCGGCATCGCAATCGTAAGGTGCATCTGAGCACCCTCTGTGAAACCGGTGACAGCACCAGAGTTTCTTGTGGGCCGACCATCCAAGCCTCCAGTTGCTGTACCCTGCGTGGCAGTCATATTGTCCATGCACAACAGTGGGAGGATGAGTGACTGGTGCACATCCAAGCTTGTAGTGTGCGCAGCACCATCCTTTCTTTCCCACAGACCAACCTGCCACCCAGTTCTCAAGTCCGGCATGGCAGTCATACGGTAAGCTCGGGTGGTAATCGGGACAGCTGACCTCGTAGTTCTGGCAACACCAAAGGCGCTTTCCCACCGTCCAAACCTCCACATCGCCAGTGTGGCAGTTGTACGGGGTGGTTATGTGTGGAGGACAACCACGACCTAGCTTGTGGCAGCACCATGCCTTCTTCTGACTGGACCAAGCAACCCTCCAGTTGTTGAAGGCTGCATCACAGTCGAAAGCTGGACTTGTTGTTGCGGGTGTGGTGGTAGGGCAGCCACGACCATAGTGGACACAGCACCATTCTTGCTGAGGAACTGTCCAAAGGGTCTGCCAATTGAAGTAGTCTTTGGTGCAGTCCCACACGTCGTCTTGGTGAGGCTCAGGGTCATCATGGTATTGCCGATGGAAGAAGTGCCCGAGTACGAGACACAGAGCGAGACCAAGGAGTAGACAGCATAAGAGGCCCAAAACACACCCACGTGCTTTCCACCTGGAATAGGTAACGTCAAGCCTCCGCTCGAAGCTACCAGCATTCTCACCAACGTAGGCCTCGGCGCTGTGGAGCTAGTGCTCCACTCCCATGCATAAACACATGAAGCCAGATGACTACATGAGCCACTACTTGAGCAAAGGCACGAAGTTCTCAACCTTTTCATAAGAACCTCTGCCATCGCCAACCCACTTCCACGTAGCCACCGTCTTCTTTCCCACGGGCTCGAAGCAAATACTGCCTGGCGAGCATCACAAGCACGACTCATGATGTATCTGCACAGCAAGGATTGAGCTCGGACTTCGCACTGCCTGCCTACGTTTTCGCATCCGTCGTCTTCGTGCACAACATGTCCAGCATGTCCAGCATGTCCGTGATGTACCATGTGACTGTCGTGGTGAACGACAGATCCACCATGTCCGTAATGGACCCGGCCACCAGAGTGGCCGTGCCCGCCGCCAGCATGCTCTGCGCTGACGGCGACGCCCATGCTGCCTCCAACAAATCGTGTGAACATTGCTGCATCACAGCATAACAGAGCATGCATCCGTTGATTTGGCCTCGCGCCGCGAAATTCTGGCCGGCCGCCCGCTCAGATGCTGCTTGAGCAGCTTCGGGCAACCGTTGGGAGCACATGCACTCGCAAGTGAGTTGAACATGCTGCATGCACAAGCTTCGCTCGTTCCGACGGCTGAAAACCAAGTCGAAAGCATCCACCATCACGGAGCTCACATACAGTGTCAGAAGGCGTTGTTCCACCGTCATCCTTGAGAGAACAGGCATGCACTCCCTCCATCTTCGTCTGCACCGTACTGCACATGATAGCTATGGCTGCTATGGCAGATGCTGAAAATTTGGAAAGTAGGCTCGGGGCTGTTTGTCTTGATTGCGACTCTTGGCAGGAACAAGAACACTCCAGCCTGGCAACATGATGACACATGAAAATGTGTCGACGGACCCAGATGGTGCCCCCATGTTTCACACTTTGCCCTTTCACCCAGCATGTCGGGAAGACCATCCTGCACAGCCTGGCGAAGGATTCGATGGCGTGCAAGACAAAATTCAAAACAGTCGAAAGCCGCTTCGTGTGCCTGCACAATTCCAGGAACGATACGATCGAAAGCACCCAGGGGTGGGACCGCAGCCTGGAAGCATCATGAAGCAATGATGGCTGATGATTGGCTGCAGACTGAGTCCATTCTGGGGTTGGGCTGGAGCCGGGTTTCAGCAAAACTCCATCTGAAGTTCAGAATTACCATCGCACAGCGAAGCGGACCAGCGGTGATTTGTGGATGGAGAGACCATTCCGGGAGTTGAGGTCACCTCAGACAGGCGCCAGTGGAGGCTTCCACTCTCCTCCCACCTCGAAGCCTCTGAGTCACTAGCGAATCGACAGCAGGCCTGTCATCCTTGGTCCGAGGCGCGAGACTGGCAACAGACGAGAAAAGCCGTCTACTTGGGCGCATGACTTGAGATCTGCACCAAGAATGACCTGAAGTTGTCGGAGTCCATCGTGCTATTCTGCACTGAGACATCCGCCCATGAGCTACTTAAGTTCAACCAAGTATGGCATAATCATATGTTTTGGAATACACTGCATACCAGCACATGCTGTCGCGGTAGATTCGTCTACACCAGAGCATACGCTGCACTAGACTGCTAGTTTCTGGCATGTACTACTGAGAGCTGTGCTTGTAGAAGCTACTGTACGCTGCGACTTGCGAGTGTAAAAGTATTGCTGCAGATTCATGCTAAACGTAGACTGGGCATAACCGAATATCGTGTAGCCTGAACTATGCAGTTCCTTTCTGCTCTGAAGTGCAACTTCCAATAGACTTACGCGCTCTATACGTCGTTTTGAACTGTTAGGCACTACTGCTTGAAACTATGTGTCACTATTTACTTATGTGCTGATTATCCAATGCTGCATACTGCGGGAAGACATGCTACGCTGTGTTGGTATGACGGATTGTGGAATCTTCAGCCTACTACACGTCATGCGGAAAGACGTGAGGTACCAGACAAGGATTCCGGGATATGACCTGACACAATCGACGCACCTCAGAGCACACACCTCGTATACCACTTACTTTGCATCACATACCAAGGCATCATCAAGCTTGTCACCTTTCCCTCTGTTTGCAGACAGCCATACACACCTGCATGAAGGCATGGCATTCACAAGATTCAACTGCGCAACAAAAACGATGTTTAATTACATTGTATACCTTTTGGAAACTACACTGAAGACACTGATACTGATATTGTAACACGAGTGCACGCTATGTTCTTTCCATAGATCACTCGTCCTCTTTGCCTTGTCCAGGGGAAGGGAATCAACTTACCATCATGCTTTGTGAAGCTGAATACACACACATATCCCGCCTCTTCTGGCTGTTTTGCCCGCATGAAGATCTCAGCCTGATGTCCATCACTTCGAGGAGACGCAGCCAAGCCCGTGTGTGTCAGGAGCCGGCGTGGTGTTTCGAAACACCCTCATAGTCCAAGATCACCTGAAGATGTGTGAACTTTGCAGTCTGTCTGGGAAAGGACGGCAGGACGCAGAGAGCAGCCCATGAAGAGACCCCCCAAGTCATGTTGGCCGTGCTGCGATGCATGACTTAAGAAACACGGACCCGCTTTCAGAAGAGCTACATTTTGGATCGCATGTCCTGTTGTGGGTTTCTGATGTCTAGTAGTTCCAAGCCATTCACTGTAACTTCCCTCAATGCTCGAAAAGTCTCGAACTCTACAACCTCAGCCCCAAAGCCGAAGCATGGCGGTCCAAACTGCAGCAGCGGCCTCGTTGTCGTTGCCACGTCCAATGCGCACAACTTCCCCGTACCTAGACACGTCACGAGAGCATGCCGTTCACCGCCTCCCTCAAATCTCTTGGAGCGCAGCTTCAGGATAAACTTTTTGCCAGTCGAGACATCCTTGCAGCCAGACTCAGGTGGCTGTCTGCTGAACCATTCGATTTGAACACATCAGCCCAAACTGCTTGTCCTGTCCCTTGCGGCATGCAACTATTTGGCATCGCTCTTCCTGCCTGTCGGATATGCTGTATAAGCGTGCCACGTTTCTACGATGTAGAAGAAAGCAATCGGATCCTTCCCATCGCCACCATCGCTTCCGAAGCTCTCCGAGCCAACCTGCACCAATGACCACAGGTGATGCCAGGGCCAACGAGTGCTCTTGCAGAATCTCGAGGCTGTGACGCGGAGCTGCTTCACTGAACTTCGCGTTTCCTTGCGTGGACGGCGAAGAGGGACAACAAAACAACCCCGACTTTAGGCTCGAGACTAAGAGGTCAAGTGAAAGCAGGCAGTAGCAACCATCTGCTGCCCAAGCATCTTCACAGCATCCATACCCCCAGCTCCCGAGGCAGCCAGGATTCAACCCGCTGCAGGCTCTGTGAGCCAAAGCTGCCAAATCATGTGTGAAGTGCTTGCAGATGCTGCAGCCCTGTGGTTCAATGTAGCCCGTGCAGCATATTCAGGATCAACGTGCACACGACTGATGCCAGCTGCTAAATAAAGAGCGCTTGCGTCGCCCGAAGTGGTGGCTACTGCGCTGAACTAGCGGAAGATGCACTTGAATTCTTGGCCAGTCACGACGAATGCGCAAAGCCTGGCTCATTGACAAAGCCTCTCAGGGCTTGCTTCCTGGATTCTCAGGAAGCGTGGACACTAACTCTAGGCTGCACGTTATCCCTGGATCCAACAGAATTGCGGCACTACCGTAGAAACTGCTCGTAGAGTGACTGGCAAATCCACAAAGAAGCTGGGAGAAGGTGCGGCTTGACTGCACATGACTACACAAGCCACTAGCGCGTGCGGAAGGCCAGATTGGCGTAGGCCGAATAACCTCGAATTGCGAAACAATGGAGATCAAGTCTGAAGTGCAAGTAAACTGACTCAGGGAATGGCCTTTCGTTGTCGTGGCGGCCTCCTCCTGCATAGATGCATACGCATTCAGCTTACGTGCAGTTCCATGTTGCCCGAGACATCAATGAGAGCCCAGCTTCGGGCAAGGATCTCTCAGGTGCACCCTGGATTCCCTGAACACCTGCGTCGCACTGGTCGCGCGGCATGGGCAGAAAATGGCAGAAAGGCCTATGCCCCAAAAGCGCCTCGAAGCGAAGGCCCGGGCCCTTCAGGGCTGAGGCTGAGGCTGGTGTCCTGCGCCAAAGCAACACAGCCTGCGAATGCTGTCGCAAGCTGTCGCAATGGTCCAGTGGCTTCCTGCGGCAATGCCGACGGCTCTGGCAGTTCAGGGACCGCCTCAGGCAATGCGATGCCGCCCCGCCGTCCCGCCACATGCTCAGAGTAGCAAACCTGCGAGGTTCGGACCTTCGCTGTCTCCACTTCGGGCAGCACCGGTGCCGCAGAGGTGTTGTTTAGGGCCAACTCCTGCACGGAGTAACAAAGTGCCCCAAACTCATCTTACGGCGTCCTTGTGCGCGCCTTGTCTTCAGCCCTGGGAGGCAACCTGACCTTAGTGCAGAAAGGCTTCGCATCCTTCGTGGTCCCAAGCTTCCTCGCCTCCTCGCTCCCATCGCGAACTTGGATCACAATTGACTGCCTCAAAGTGCTTTGTGGAGCAGTCTTGTGAAGGATGTGGGAAACTTTACTCGTTTCGGAAGATTGGGACTCGGATGTGAATCTGTTGTCAACGGCAGTTGCCGAAACGTTGGAAGCTCAAACATCCCAAAGCTCAAACCCGACTGCGAATGCCACGACGTACTGAAGCTAAATCAGCTATCAACGGCAGGCGTATCTCGCGTTGGCACGTATATTCTTCGTGCCAGCAGTCTCGAATGCCTTGCTCTTACAATCTCTCACACGGCGGTTTCGGTTTTGGGACCACGCATAGAAACTCCAGTCATTGCTGCACCTGCATCGTTGGGTTGCTGGTGTGCATCCTTGTATCTTCCTCAACCTGATCCCAAACAAAATATTGCAACCGTGCAGAGAAGACATTACCTGCATCACTTCATATTGACTGCTTCTCGCCTGGCATCTTTCAGCAGTGCTTTTCGAAAAAGGTAAGGGCACGACTGCCCTGAGCGCACAGTGATCTGGGTCGCGCTCTTCTCGCTCTCTCTGCCTCTATGCAGAGAAGGGCCACGGAAAGAAATGCTTGGCTTCAGGGCTCGGGCCAGGATCCGAGACGGAATCGCTGAAGTTAGCCCTCGAGCCCAGAACCTGACACTGCACTATTTCATGCACAGGCGAAGCCCTGAGAAGTCTTGCTTGAAAGACGTCTTGATGGGACCAGCCAACAAGGCCTGCTGCGTGGAGTTACCGACTTCAGCCTCACGACTTGTCAATGCAGCCACCAACATGTGCTCATGTGACTAAGCTTCGGCCTCACTAAGCCCCTGCAAAGCGCTTTTTCGGAGGCACCCGCTTTGCTATGAGCGTCTCGACACGCAGAAACACTCTCACAACGGCTATCCGGCTTTGGAAGCTGCAATGGAAGGAACTCGCAGCTTGCGGGAGAGTTCAGGTTGCACATAGACCTCGTCTGATGTATGGGAGCCCTTCTCGGATCCCTCAACCACCGCTCTGAAGGACAGGGTCTCCCACAGGATATCGGACCACCTTGAATATTCCTAAGCAGAGCAGACGGAAGTGAAAGCTCGTGTCTCTGCGTTTGCACTTTTTGCCACGGCACAGGTGAGAAAAACGCCGGATGCCAAACAAGTCAAGCATCCCATCCCCAGACCACGAGACTCAGCAGTGCAAGCATGCCAGGTCCTCCGTAAGGCTTCGTCCAGAGACATCCGCTCATCACGACTACCTCACTGCAGAAGAACTTCAGCAGAGCAACCCATCAACGTGCTGCATCAGTCTTCTTTCTGGGATCACGTGCGAAAAAGCGATTTGCGACGTCTCAACTCCTACGCAAATCCCAAACCCAGACCGACAATTCACGTAAACCCGCAAAGGAACGAAGATCGGCAGTGTGAATTGGACGTGCCGCAGCTGCTGGGCCCAAAAGTACCCTCCCAGATCCGGCTTCGTCGTCTCCGCAAAGACAACCAGGTAGCCTCCCGAAGGCTAAAGGGCCAGCTGTTCCAGTGCCCATGCTGACGACATTCATACTTGAACTACTGCTAGTAACGGACTTCGCGGTCGTGGTGGTGGTGTTGGTGGTGGTTTTTGTCGCAGTCGTCGTCGTGGTCATGACAATGATGGCAGTAGCGGTGTGTCGTGATCATACCGGATAGCCAAAAGCGGTGCAATACTGCCGAGGCACTGAAGACAAAGCGGTTGATGAGGAAGTACAAAAAGCCGCACCACAGGGCCATGGGTGCCATGACGCTAAAGACCAGTGCAATAGCCAGCACCACGTTCAAACGCGCACTTCGAGAGCCGATGCCTGTGGTTACAAGGAGAAAGCCCACCAAGGCTCATGGACTCATAACTTCAGGAAAGCTTTCAGCCCAAGAAGATCGAAAAACCAACAATGTGACAACCTACATACTAAACTTACTAAACATCACTAAATGCCAGATTGGATCACCATAGTAGTCTGGATCCTCCGGCTCTGAGAGCTCTTTGGCGCGCGCTTCCTCGCTGACGGCTGTCCACGCGAAGAATTTCAGCAAGTTCTGATAGCGAAGGATGTTCCTCGGCTGAGATGTGACACGGCCGACAGGTCCAGTATCTTCAGAAAACTTAGCGAGCCCCTCCTACGGCCGAGCTTAGCTAAGCTTGTGCGTCGAGAAGCAGGACCGACACCGACCACTGCAGGATGATATAGCTCATGTAAAAGGTGGAAGTGTTCGGCAAGCTCCCAGCCAAATCCAGCACCACGGAGGTCGGGGAAGTCAAGACATCTGCGAAACGTTGCCACAATGAGGTTCCTATTGCTGTAACCAGGAGAACAAAGATGACCTGGAACCAGAAGTACCACTGCTGCAGGAAAAGCTGGCTCTGCACCCTGGAATTGAAGGTGAAGGTGCTGGCAATGATTACATGCAGCGTGCTTGGCAGAAAGGCCATAAACACTGAAAGCAACAAGGTTGCAAAGATTCCCTCCATGACAGATTGCACCCAGGTCGAACTCGTGATCATGCGATGTACGAAATCAATCCGCTCCAGGTTCTCCAAGTTGACAATCGACGAGGCTGCGCCAATCAGCGGAAAGAAGAAAAGAAACACCATGAAGATAAGGACATACCCGAGTAGGTGTAGCATCTGCCTGCGATGGGCACAATGGAAGAGCGTTTACAGAATCTTTTGGATCATTCGCGGCGAGGCCTCTGGAACGGGCTTCGGAGAAGATCTTCGTACGAGACATCTTTTGGAACCGGCGGATACTCCATGGTGAAGAGATGGCCTGCGCTGCAGTAAACCGACGAAGAATTGCAAACAAATTGCTGTGCAGTAGGCTTCCCACAAGAAGCACTCGGGTCCCAGTTCCCACAGAGCTATATGACCGGATCAGGGGTAAGATGTCATCACGCAACGTCGCAACAGCCAACGGCAAGTTCTCCCTATCGCTCAGTGTCGCCTCCTCGGAGAATCGGGGTCGAGTTTGGAGCTTTGAACGGAGGAGCTCAAATGATCTGAAAAGTGGTTGGAGACCCCAAGGCCGATGCAGGAGAGCACAACCGCAGACACTCGCGACTCCCTGCATTAGCTCCCCAACAAAAGTGCCCTGCAGAATAGCATCACAACATTCCGAAGACACCCCAAGTTCAACCGCACTGCGCTAGGGCCTTATCATCCTTATTGCTCATTTCAGCCTTCTGGTTCCAACCGCAGTCGTAGAGCCATCTCCGCATCACGGGAAGCCAAGAACGTCACGAATGCAGCTGCGCCGCTGTACTCTGCCTGCAGGGGCAGACATTGGAGCAGAATCTAGTTTCTGAGCTCAGTGCTCGGAATGAGCCTCATCGAAGCTGTCTGCTTGACGTATGTGGTCCCTCTCACCTTCGATGTGGCGCTGCAGATGCTCCTTAAGCTTGCACGCGTGCAGCCGCATAAGCACACCAGCTTCGTGACATGTTCGTCTTCTTGTCTCTCTGCCCCCGGTTCGGGTTTCAATCGGGTTGCATCAGAAATGGACCTCAACATCTCCAACCAAACAAAGCTCTCGAGCTTGTGGATTCCACAGCAAGGCTTGGACACCCCTCGAAGATCGAATCGCTAGTGAATACTTATCTGTGCGATCTCTCCATCTCAAGTCGACCTTTGAGCACTAGGAGAGATAACGCCCAGCCGCTACAAGCTTTGTGTAGTGATCGATGCTGTCCACAGCTTCTGCATCTTGAAGAACTTTGATTGTTGGTCGCTTGTCGGGGTCCTGGACACATTGATCTTACCCAGCTCCACAAACAAAACTTAGAGTCTTCAGTCACTTCAGTCCTTGTTTGCCAGGAACCAAAGGTACTGCGATTCATGCAGTCGCTGTTCGGCAATCGAGAACTCATCGAGCAGGGCCGCCAAGCTTGAGAGCTTCTTGACGATATACACTCGCTCGATTATCCCCCCAGGGAACAGATAGTCGAAGTATTCTTTCAGCTTGGCATCAGACCCTTGGTTGGGTTGGAATGTGCCGAGAAAACCGCGCCATGTGCTGGGTCCGGAAGCCCGGCGAAAATGCAACCAAGCAGCTATAACTTGGAGGAATATTGGTGACCAAAAGCGTAGAGGACTGTGGCTTGGGGCGCTGCTGCAGCCATGCAACGCGTCGCTCCACGAACTTCCTTTCATGCAGGGGTTCACTTTGACTTAAAGCTTGAAGCGCGCGCAACAAACCGCAGTGGTCCTGGCTCAATTTCAACAACTCATCAAGGGGCAAAGGAGCTTATCAAAGACGGTGTAGCTTTCTTACATAAGGCTTAAGGGCGAATGACGGCAAATTGAGTGGCTGACACGCCAACTGGCCAACTACCCGCCGTCTCGCCTACATGTGTCGGTGCAGCCACTATGGTGACACCGCAAACTCGCGCATTTCCGATTTTTGTCCAGTTCAGCCAGACCTACGAAGTCTTGTGCTGAAAACCTCCTGCGCCAACGGCCTGGCTTCCCCAATCTTCCCCACACAAGACTTGCAAATCCCCGAGAACTCCATCGATTCCGCAGACTCGCAGCAGGCTTGAGCTTCTTGTTCTTCGATCGGACTTAGGTGGGTTTGTCGTTTAGGGTTGCAAGCTCTTCCGGAACCTCAGTGACCTCTTCCTCTCTTTCTTTTCTTCCACCAGGGCTCTCTCCCTGTCTTCTTCCTTCGAGCATGGGGGATCTGCCCGTGTCTCTTTTTGTTTTCTTTCGCCTGGGTTGTGGTGGGGAGTTGCCTCCCCGTGTCTCTCTGTCTTCCTTCCTTCCATCGGGTGCAGGTCTGACTAGCAGACCCGTGCCATTAGGCACCACCCACCCTCTTTGGACTATGAGGGCAACCGGAAAGTACGGTAGACATTCCTGCTGTCGTGGACCCAACCCCAACCCAGTACTTTAGCCCGCATCCCGGCCTCATCACCGCGCCCTCTACGGCCTATCCTTGGTCCCTCGACAGCAGATATCCCCCTGTAGGACTCTACGGTTGGCAGACTAGTCTCCCTCTTCAACAAAAACAACACTGAGTACCATACCACTGTGCGGGTCCACCGTTAGCGGAAGCAACACCGGAACAGTAACACATACAGGACACCAAGGTTGGTGGTTCCCCTTTGGGAGTCTAGTTACACAAGAAAACTATGCTTACCTGTGTTTGGTTCCACCACCTTCTCTCTCAACACGGGGCTGGTGCCGATCAGATGATGAAAACTGCGAGAAAGTACTAAATGCAGGCTGGTTTCTTTTGCGCCTGACGCAGAAGGCGCTGCACAGCCCACACAATTATCCAAGTGGTAGCAGCCAAAATCCAACCTCGAAGCAGCCCACCACAGCCCGTGTTGACTGCTAAGGCTCAAGAAATTGAAACATGCGTCAACACTCCAAGGATGAGCCAAGGAGCGCATGGCGAGCCCATTGCACCTTAAGGAGCTAATGCTAAAAAGGTCCAGCGAGCTTCGAGGGACAAATTGCACCGCACTGGTGCAGATGTCTGCATTTGGACCTCAGAGGAAGGCTCACAAAGGCGGAAACATTGGCCTCCGAGCCTCAAAGACCTCCGGCTTCTCTGCAGCTGCGGCACCCGGATGCTTTCCCATGACGTAGAAGACCGGGAGACAGACCACGGTCAGGGGGATCCCCAGATAAATGCAGATTTTCATGCCAAGGTTGCAGAACTCGATCATCAATGCACTGTCCAGCCCAGCATACTCTTCCACCTCCTCTGAGCTTAACCAGATGCCGAACCACGAAGGGTGGGGCTCAGGTGCCTTCTGAATGGTTGTGTTGTGTAGATAGACGAGCGGCTTCCACCTCTGAAACACGACGAAGAGTACCAAGTAGGCGGAGATCAAGCCGATATTGAAAAGAAAGGAAGCTCGCAACGCTTCTGAGTCTGTTTCGCTGTTGGCTTTCAGCCCCAGCTGTTCTTGAACAATCTGGCTTCCATCGCTCTCTTTCTCTTTGTCCTTCTTGGCAGTACCATTTCGGTTTTGAGGCGCAGATTGTAGCAGGGAATGCTCACGGTCGCTGCTCGACACGTTCGGCAAGGCAGTCGAGAGCGCGTGTTTCAGTCCACTTCCATTAAAGGTTTGTGCAGCAACCTGGATCAGGAACAAGTCAGGCAGGTCGACGTCCGCCACCGACTCCGACTCTGCATTTGCCGCCAGCACTAACACGAGAAGCCGCACGACTCTGAGCATTGGAAGATGAGAAAAATCAAGCGAAGTCCATGGCAAGTGCCAAGTGTTCGGTCGCGAATGAAGAGTTGGGGTACAGATGCCGGCAGTCTCTGAAAGCCGATCAGATGCAAGCACGTCGACAAGCTTGCAGAAACAAGAATGCAAACACTTCTTCCACTGGGCTCCTGGCGACGCTGCTTTCCAGAACTTCGGACCCTGCAAGAAGCTTGTGTTCGGGGTTCGTGCGCCCTGTTGCCCCTCGCCACAAAAAGTCTAGGCAAGTTTCGGGACGCTGAATACCAAAGCGACACACGTTGTGATGTTGTGGATGTGTACGAGTGTGCGGGTACGTGTCTCCCCTGTCTTTGTTTCTGCATCTCTATCTTTCCTATGTTGCTTCCGCTTGAGTTTCTTGTTCCTGGAGCTCTCTGTCTGTCTTCCTTTTGTCCGCTAACTTTAACGTCGGTCCTCCGTCTCTGCGTCTGTCCGTCTGTCTCTGTCTGTCTGTCGTCTAGGTGTCTGTGCTGGGTTTGCTCATGATTCAGTTGTGCAGGAAGGACACCACTACATCAACAAACGTGCCTCACCCCAGAAAACAAGCTTCCGCTCACAACCGCAAGCACGCAAGGAATGAAGCGAAACCGCTGAAAGCCCTGAACTGAACCTGAACCTGCACACGCTATGCACAAATCCAGGCCCCTGCTGCAAAGCCAAGCCAAACCAAGCCAAGCTATTCACTAATCAGAACTCTTGCAGAATCATATCTGACAGAAACCCCGTCGCATGCATAACCCTGGCTAAGCTAATTCAGCCCTTCTGTTTTGGATACTAAACCGTGACACTAGGCAACGATTCAGTCACAATTCAAACTGTAGGCTGAAAGAAGGGCTTCCAGAAGTTCAACAAAAATCAGTATGCAGGAGACGTTAATTGCATCTCAATATCTCAGTTGACAGAAAGCAATCTCACCATGAACCTCAAGCCGTTGTCTGCACACACCCGTAATCTGTTTAGTTGCTTGAGCCCTTTCGACCCACCTCACCACGTTTTGTGAGTGATTGTTGCAAAGTATGCACTATTCAGTGTCTAGCCCTGACGACCCACGGCCTTTATTGTATGTACTCTAATCTAAGATTCAGATGGTTGTTATGAAGGCACGTCTGGCCACGTAAGCTTTCTTGAATCGTTCGTGCGAAATTTCAAAAGCGTTGATAACCCGTGGAAGATAGCACATGCTTGTGTACACATATATATATATATATGTTAATAGATGTGTACATATATATGTATACATACATCCAGATACATACATACATACATACATACATACATACATACATGGGAGTTTCCGAAAATAGGGTACCCTAACATAGTACCCCAAATAGTAGTATCCTTAATATACGGACCTCAAAATAATAACCCCTTATTTACGGAAACTCCCACATACATTGATACATTCAAAGTGAGAGTTATTATGCTACATGTGCACCGTTTGTCTGGATTGCTGTGGCACTGTCTTGTTCATGCTTATGCGTACTAAGGTTGGTCATGCCCATATGTAAACATCCGAATGCAAACCTGAACAGATAAATATTCATTCATTCAGGTGTATGAACACGTTCACCTTTGAAAACTTGTGCTTGTTCACAAAGTCGTCATACATGCTCATGTTCATCAACGTGCGTGCACACAGACATGATTGACTGCATTACCGTCTGCCAGATGCGTGTGTTTGTCATATGTCTGCATTCTTACTCACCCGGCCACCTGGAGGTTACAGGCACATACACAAAGTTAGAGAGAGCAAGACGCATCGAGACACACACGCACGCTCACACACACACACACAAACACAAACACAAACACACACACACACACACAAACAAATGAATAAGTGAGTGTGGATGTGCGGGACCCAGCAGCAGTGCCCATACCCTGTGCAGACATGACACCTGTCATGAAAAACAACCAAAACCATCGGGAGCTTCAGACCGTCGTCGTGACTTTGGAAAAAGTTCGCATGCACAGGCCTAGACAGACACATGCCCCGACACTCGAGAGCCCATATTAGCTTTGATGCAAGACAACGCTCGCCCCGAAAACCGTCGGACTGGTCACGCGTGACATACTTGCTTGCTTTCGCCAGTAAAACCAGAGAGCATCCACCAAAGACAGATCTTGTCATACTGGCACACATGCACTACTGCTGTGCGTTCCCTGTCCAGGCCTGGTCTATGAGAAGGCGGCTCCAGCGTTGTCTCCTGGCAACATGTCCAATTTCATCCTTCAGTTCATCTCTCGGCACGTCGGTCTGGTCAAGGAAACCTAGCTGACAGTACTATCGCGGTCCGGCTTGCTGATTTGGAGGACGATTTCTCGATCTCCAGCCTTCACCTCGAGAAAGGATCATCAATGGTAATCCTGGTGATCAATATTATTGGCAGCATGACCACGGCAAGGCTTTCCGTACCGGCTGTAAACATCAAGCCGCAAGTCTGTGGTATGGTGGCCGAAGATACGAGACGAGAAGCCCATCACAGTGCATCATCGGAATCAGAACGCTGCACTCACAACTCGAGCTTCCAGCCGTGATGGTGTTCTCCTGAACGGCGCTGCTGACCAAGCAAGACTGAGAGTGTAACACCAAGATGAACTTCAAACAAGCAGAATGGCTGCAGGCACGGGCTGTCCTTCTCAACTGCCTTTAGGGCTTCTCGGGTGCTCCCACTGGTCTGCCAAGTTGCTGATTTTTCCAAGAGACGGAATGCCCAGTCACTCTGCACTCGCCTGGGGTGGAGAGTCCTCGTAATTCCACTGCCTTGAGCGTGATTTAACTTTAGGGCAACAGGGCTTCTGAGAAGGTCGCTTTCGGCTTAGCTCTTGAATTCTGCTTCATCCAAACGACCCGTCCCTGCTCCCGGCAGTGTCTTCGACACTGCCACCTGTTGCACAGGTGGCCACTTCAACAAAACTAATTGGCATCCGGAGCTGCTTCGGCTTCCTCAGGAAGCGAAGTGCCCCTTCGAAAACAACAGAGTGTCCATCAGATTTTAGTTCAAACATTGCTGCAACAGAACACACATCGACTCCTCTCGACTCTTAGATCCTAGGTCCAGGATCCTACGCCTCTGTCTCCCCTGAATCCTTCGACCCCTGGGAAATCCCAAGGAGCCGCTCGCTGAGCACCGTCAGCTCGGCCCGCAGATGCTGTAAGTTCTGAGTCAAGTTGTCGTAAACCATGCGGGTTTCTCGTGTTATCACAAGTATATCAATGGCCTTAGCAGGCCCCTGCAGCCGAATGCAGCCGTTCAGAAACTCTTCGAAGTCAATGGAGCCACTTTGGTTGACATCCAACATGTCGAAGAGAAACTTGGCCTCGGATGGCTCGATGTCGAGGTCTTTGAAGAAGTCCTGGACCGAATGGTCCTTCGTGTGATTCAGGACTTCGGTGTAAGAGATCTGACCACTCTGGTTGTCATCCAAAGTTCTGAAGAGCTTCCTGGCCTTCATGGCCCTTTGTCCCTCCCTTACCTCCTCGGCCCTCACGATCGCGCTCTGCACGAACCTAGATTGCTCAAGTGTCACACTATGTACAAGTAGCTGAAACCTCGATCCTAGGACCATACGGCCTACGGGCGGGCTTTTGCCTTACCACGGTGTCACTACAACACTACACACAATATCTTGCGATAAACAGGCCAGCCACGTTCCAGTGACCACATTGAGCACACCCACAATCGCGAAAGCGAAGAAGGAGACCAGCCCAATGCCGACCACAGCGCTAAGATCGAAGAGGGGCGCTACCAGGACATCCCAGTCGACCCCACCAGTCATAGCTTCGAAAAGAGAGAGCATGGAGCGCGGCACCGAGCCAAAGAAATCCTCCAGTTCGTGGCCCTGCTGGCTCTCCACACGATAGAACAAGAGCAGCTGTGTAATGTAAATGCCGGCGATATACAGCATCAAACCCAAGAGGACGAAGGTCCAAAAAAAGGGGCGGGAGCAGTAGAGGAGACAACTCACGAGCAGCCTTAAGTCCTCTGCCATCAGGGCGATACGGAGCACCCTCAACACTCTGACGGCACGCAGGATGCGGGCAATTCTCAGCAGGGTGGTTGGGGAGACCTGCTGCAGAGGACCCCGAGGATCGGGACCAGACAGCGCTAGCAAGAGCTCTTCCACCAGCTGAAAGCCTACGAGCAACAAATCGAACACGTTCCACGCCCAGCCGACCTGAGTAAAGAAGTCTAGTCGATGTGCCACCAATCGTACACTCAGCTCCAAGGAGAAGACGATGCAGTAGATCACCTCTGGCAATCTTAGGCACTCTGGTGCCGACTTGAAAATAGCAGCCAGAACTAACACTAGAAAAGCTTCTGTCTGTGCAATCGTCTGTGGCAAATGTGGCAATGACTCTTCATGCTTTGCTGGACTTTGCTGCTTGCTGTTTCTATGAGAGCGACACCTCCAAGATCCGATGGGCAGAGGCGGTCTCTGTAACGAGCCTCTCGGCCATGTCATTTGTGGAGAAGCCTATCTGCAGCGCACTGGAGCAGATTAACAGGATGGTCATGATTTCGAAGGAGCTGCTTGTAGCTATGTTGTAGCAGCGTCGATGGAAGGCAGATCGAAAGACCTTGACGTTGAAGTCGTCTGCTCCAGCTACCAGGCCCATCCCACGACCCATCTTATCCACAGGTTCCGATTTCCGCTCAAACAGATTCAGCTTCGCATCCTCGCGATCGAGACCCTGGACCCACTTTGCATCCTTCTTTGAGAGTGTTCTTGGGATTGACGCGCAAGCGTCTTCATCTTTAGTCACTGGAAGTGGGGTTTCATCGGTCCCGGGTTGCGATGGTTGTGGTGCAGCTACTTCTTGCACCGTGCCAGGGATGTCGGCTGGAAGGATCAGCTCCTCAACCCCCTCACTGCTCGAAGCAGTTTCAATAGAGTGTTGCGAAGCCTCCATGCGTGGAGGCTTCAGATGGTTCAGATGCGTGATATCATGGAGCTCTTGCGTG